GCTGCATTAAGGTTAACTCCTGGGCATACAACCGAGCGAAGTCTTAGCCGAGAGCCAAATTCTGACAAGAAGCCGCCATCTATTGGTGTAATTAATCGATGCGCAAGTTTACACGTGTAGTTGGATCTGCTGGGGAAGTATCTCGCGACATTCCAACGCACTGGCCTTCATCCGTGCAGTTGTTGGAAATTATAACATTAACGTGCGTGGCGTGAAGGCGAGAGTCACATCGTGAAATGGTATCGCCTTGCACCCGTGTAACTGCTACAACAAAAATAAAAACGAATTTGCGCGGTGCTAAGGCGACGCACAAGTTGCACACTTGAGAATGACTGGTGGCAGAATGTGTGATCGTCTCAAGGGATATCCACATTCTGAGAAGGTACCGACTTCCATCCGCGTAGCTGTTGATGCTTCAAGCTTCGGGGTAGTAGTAAGATGTGAAGACGTCCCAAAGGAAGCACCAAGCTGGGCCTACGGACGCGCCTGGTGGTGCGATATGTATGAATTACTGTATGTATTAAGAACAGGGGTGGAGATGGAGAAGGGGGGGGTCAGAGGAGGAGAGGAGGAAAGGAGGGAGAGAAATGCAGGAGGGCAGTGGAGACCGAGGAGAGGATGCGGGAGGATGAGGAGAACGTGGAAGCTGAGGAGTGGGGCAGGAGGTGGAGGTTGGAGACTGACGAGAGGCTGCGGGGGGTGGGGGTGAAGAGATGGAGGCTGGGGTGGGAGTAGAAGTGGGTGGCGGAGGAGGAAGAGGAGGTGGGAGGTAACTGTAGGGTGCGCTTGGTGCCTCCTGCTTTCTCTAGGGTTTGCGGGGGGTCCATGGGTTTTGCGGGAGGCGGACCGGCAGACCAAGAAGCGATTCATGGAACATTCCTCTCACGTGAGGCCCTGGGGACTCGCTGGCGAGTTCACCTGGCAGCAGTCGGCGGTGACGCCAGAGGGCAATTGTAAGCCGCACGGAACGAAGCGTCCTTTCGAGTTCCGCCTCATTGCTGATCCTGTGAGGCCCCAGGCTGGCCGCTCTCGCGCCCATCGCTGTAGCGCTGGTCTTGTCAGTCGATGTCTCGTTGAAGCGCCTACTGATCGCAGGGATGCCTTTGCCGCCTGGGCTCATCCCGGATGCGAGCCTTGACCTTGACCGCCGGGCCGTCGACCCGCCAGGTGGTCGGAGCGTCGGCAGCGCCTGGAGGACAGCGCATCGAGCCGGAAGCGATCGGGCGGGCGCGTTCGCCCGAAGATCGGCGGTCCGAATCTGAGGCCGTAAGGACGAGTGGGTTCAAGCGGAGAGGGTTCTGCTCGAAGTTCCTGCGTATCCTCGGGGCCCTCAGCCGCCTCGATGCGCCCGTGCCGAAGCGCAACGCGTGCTGTGTTCCAGACGTCCGTGTCAACACGCTGCGTGTTGGCTCAAGGTGTTGGCCCACGTTTTGGCGAACGCATCACGTCAGACTCACGTTTTCAGTCTACCTGTTGAACTCCCGTGTCAAGACGCTACGGGCTGCATATTGCGGAGCGGGGTGGTTAAGTCAGGCCCCCAGCCGTCGGGACCTCATTTTTGAGCCGCCGAGAAACGAACAGGAAGCCAAACGTCGGGGGACGCCAACGTTTTACTTGCGCCGACACTGGCCAGGCCGCGCCCTGGGCCCCGGAGGGGTGCACGTTTTTTCCTGGCCAGACCACGAGGCTGCCTGCACCCCTCCTGTGCCCAGAGGTCGGTGCAGGTGCACTGCGGAAGAAGTCCTCCTCAAGTTAGGAGGAGGAGGAGAAGGAGGAAGATGAGGAGGATTCGTCCGTAGGCTGGAAGCGTAGTAGTGGTATGGGGAGTAGGAGAGTTGGGAGGGGTTTGATTAGTAGGAGGAGTAATATTATGAGGAGGATTAGTTGAGGAGTAGATTAGGACGAGTCTTACTACTTAGGAGGAGCCCTTGTGGCAGATCGTGCGGCAGGAGCGGGGCGCACGCGGAGCAGCCCGCTCAGGTCGACCGGCTCTTCAAGGCGCTTGACATGCAGCGGGCTGGCGCCTCGGGTGCAACCGATCGTCTCGCGAGATCCCGGATCCTTGGAGACTGTTTTTTTGGGTCAGGCGATAACCCAGGTTGTCGGGCTTGCCCCCCCTCTCTCCCCCTCCCCAGGATAGCCTGACCTTGCCGGTTGTGCAGGTCACCGGTGGAGGGGCGCGGGCATTGGCAGGGCTGTCCACAGCGCGAGGGTTAGGTTATCGGCCAGCCCCCTCCTGCCCCCCCCCCACCCGGGATAACCCGGGTTATCGACGATTCGGAAAAAACGGTTTCCTGGCAGCATCGTCGTCTACGTCTCGGTCGTCGTCGTGGCCGTCGTGGCCGTCGTCGTCTGCTCGGGTCAAATCACAGTTGCTTCATACATACTAGGTCCGCGCGAATTTCTCGGGTTGGCGTTGCACCCCCTGGCGCGCGAACAAGTACAGCGCCGACCCATGATTTCCGCGCGGGCCTCCAAACTCGTATGCTGATGTTATTGATGATTACACGTGGCACTCTTGGAGGGTCTGTTGGAGGGTCGATTATCGGAGGGCGGGCCGATGTCGCAGGACTTCGCTCCAGCGCCAGAGTCGTTGAGGCGAGCCGGCCTCGCATGATCGCACCATGGCTCGGGAGAAGGGCAAAACCAGTCGAGTATGATCTCCCTCATTCTCCTCCTCCCCCATGCAAGAATTGGGAAGCATGCGAAGCCGATTGTGGCGGTCGCGATTTCTCCCTCGTGTCGGGGTTCCAAAACATGGGTTGGCTCTGGAAGGCCCAATTCCAGATTGCACATCCTACGCTATGGTCCACACAGCCCCCCGAGGTCGTGACTGCCATGTTGGCCGCCCGAGGTCTCGACCCCGACCCTAGGAACAGCTTCACATGCTGCGCAGCTTACAATATTTTGCACAAGAAGCAAAGCATTTATACAACAACATGTAGGGAGGTTTGCACATGACGCCATTTGCAAGTTTCTATATCCAACAAGCTCTCAAGACCGATCCGAAGAGACATCCAAGAGGCCTCTGGCCTTTCTGCTCACCCTTCTCCTCATCTTCCAATTTGGTTCACGCTGTCTCAGATCAGATCAAGCAGGTCGGCGCAAGCTATGCAAAGTTCGTAGTGTTTGTAACCCGCTTCGTTTTGAGGGTGGTGGGACAGTGAGAAAAAGGTCGGCAAGATGTTGTTGAACCCTCGCTGACGACAGGAGTCGAATTTGCTTAAGATGTCTTCAATGTGTTATCTGCTTTGCCTTTCATGTCATGGGCATGTTCTGTACGCGAGAACTGTGACAACACCAGCGGCTACACGAGAACTTGAAACGAGCTGTCACAAGGACCTCGAGGTCGGCAGAGAGTCAAGCAGAGGAGGAGGATAAGGAGGAGGCGGAGGACAGAGAAGGAGGAGGAGCAGGAGGAGGAGGAGGAAGAGGAGTAGGAGGAGGAGGAGGCGGCGGAGGAGGGGTGGAGGGGAGGACAAATGGGAGGAGGGGGCAGGGCAGTGTAAACCAAGAGACTTGACTAGTTCCATAGCATGGCACATCTGCCTCTAAGTCGTTTCTAGTGAGGGTGCTCGGCCAACGACGCCCACCGTCGTGCACCCTGCGGTCGCGGCAATCCCGCCGCTGGTAACCCCTACCTAGACCTAGATCTTCAATGAGGCCCTGCATTCCCCAATCAGTGCTTGCACTGAAGGGGCCCTAGCGGGAATTGAAAGATTTGGCGAACATGTCCCGCCGGTGTTGGTGGCGGGCTGGGTTCCCGGGGTCCTGGTTATTGGTTCCGGGCCGATTTCGGTGGGTCCCAGGTTCCTGGGTTCCCGGTCGATCTCCTTGTCGATCAAGCCATCCATTGATTGGGTTTGTTCCATGGTGTCATACACTTCGAGCACAGGAGGCCAACAAGCTGGGGGGCAACTGAATCTCGCGAATGTTTCCTGTTGCACCTTCAGCATCGCCTCGCGGCGAGAATCCGTATCCGAATCATGTTTGCCCGCCTGCACAGTCGCAGCAGTCAGCAAACTGTTCGACAGCGATTTTGGGACACCGTGGGAGTCGAGGTCCTCTAACGCCCCGACTTGCTTGCCCTCCGAAACGCAAGTCTCCCCGTAATGGAGGATGACAATTAATAAATGACCGGGGGTCGTGTTCACGCGGCGGCGCCCAGGATGACGATTAGAAAAAACCGGCCGCGGGCTGGAAACCTATTTTTCAATCGTTCTCCTCCAGTCAGAAAATTGTTCATAAATAGCAGGAAACTATTGTTTGATCGTTCTCTCCCAATTTTTTAAATCAATCTTATTAAGTCTCGAAAAAATCGAGACAAAGACTTTTCATCGTTTTCGGCCTCTGGAGGCCCTCGCCGGGCCTCGGGACCGTCAGAAAACGGCTCGGGATGAAGAACCGGTCCCGGGGAAGTGGTCGGGAGGTTGGGGGGCCGTGTCTCGAAAAAATCGAGACGTCGGATGTCTGGGTCCCCAATGGGGGCGTCCACGGGAACGGCCGGTGGACTGTCCCAGGAGGGACGGCGGTCTTTGGACACGCTTTCCTTCCTGCCCTCCATGCTTCCCTGACGCGGCAGGCTTCATGCACGCCATCGTGAGCGAGTGCGTGGCCGCCTGGAGTTTCGTGAGGTGCTCATCGAGGGCTCTTGTGCTGCTGGCGGAACCCAGGCGTCGAGCCCAAGCTAAGCAGCGCCTTGACCGCATCGCAAGCCCCCCTTCCAGGCACACTGCAGAGTGGTCAGCGAACCCTACTTGCAAGACAACGGCGACGTCTTCCTGACCGCGCTCACGCCCTTCAGGATGACAACCCACTTGCCGTAGAGGACTTTGTCCAGCAGCAAGCCTGCGTCCAAGAGCATCTGGACGCAGGAGTCCAGCTTGACGCCGACTTGCTCTGGCAGCCCATTGCCCTTCAGCTCCAGCACGCATTGGGCGAGTTTCACTCCGTGGCCTTCGCGCGGAGTCCCGATGACCGCGTCCATGGCGTGCTCGGGGGCAGATAACTTCACGCCAGCAGCGAAGGAAGCGCGGGCGATCGCCAACTCCGCGGGGGTGACCCTGAACGATTCCGACCGGCAGCACACGCACAAGCACGTGGCAAGGACCTCCGCGAAGGCCGTGCACAAACCGCCAGGCGTTGCCGATCTTGCGGCGGGTCGCCCGCCGTGCCGATGAGGCGCTCGGCAGTACCAGTAACATGGGTGACCTCGTGGCCTTCGTAAGTCCTCGCAATCTCAGTGCCAACCAGCTCCACTTCGATCTGAGCGGCCATGTCGACGAGCTTGAGCAGCTTCGTAACGTCGGTCTCGGTGATCGCACGGCACGTGGAGTTCAGCTCAAGGGTGCAGTCTAGCGTCTGCGGGAGTTGCCTCTTCGACGTCTGCGCGCTCCTCTTGCCACTCTCGAACCTCGAGCCTCAGTACAGGGACTTTGCCAGCGCACGTGCCGCGGTCGTGAACAGAGGGGGACATTTGGTCACGTGCCTCTTGGAGTCCATGTCGATTGAGCCGTCGTAGACGTCCACGTCGCAGTCTGCCGAGGCAGCGCCCATGTCATCAAGGTTCACGACGACGCCCGCGACTTTCTTGACGACGACGAGCGCGTCGCACCAGCGCCTCTCGATGACCGCGTCCTCTTCGGGAAGCTGCCAGTGCTCTCGAATCGCCCTGCAAAGCTCGATCACGACTGGTGCCTTCGTCTGGTCCGCAAGGAGAAGGTCTGTGAATTCGTCCATCACCTGCGTCCAGGAATTTTTCGTTGCGTTGCGAATCGGGTACTGCCCGCGCTGGCCACCGCGTCGGCGTGCGTCTGGAGGTCGAACTCGTCTTGGATCCACGCGCCAATCCCATCGTGCACGCGTGCGGACAGGGCCGCGTGCTCGGAGTCGTCGCCGTCGGCATCGGCCTGGTCGTCAGCGCAGGCGATCGCCTCCGAGACCTCCTGCGCTCTGCCCTCGTCGCTCTGCGCGGCTTGCGCCACGCCCCCGCGCGGCATGCTCGGGAGATGCTCGGAGAGCCGGCCGCGGCAGCTCTCGCAGAAGCAGACGCCGCTGCGCTGGTCCACCTGTGGCGCCACTATCTCCAGGCCGGCGTCCTGGGGCGCAGATGGGGGCGCAGTGCATCGTGCGCGCTGACGTCGCATAGTATCAGCGTGGTTCCCTCCCTCCCCCGCCCCCTCCATGCCCGCCCTCCCGCCCGCCCTCGTCATCCTCGTCTCCTCCCTGTACCGAGGCCAGCTTGACGCATTGCAGGCATTTTCCCTCGAGTTGGCAAGTCCTCAGAGCGAGGCGTCTGCAAACACTATGGTCCAGATTACTGTTCACACGCCTACACATTCCTGAACATCCCCGATACGGCGAGCCCATGACGTTCAAGGGCATCGCCTGCCTCGTGCTGGTCGCCAGCGCTGCCCTGCCGCTGCAGGCCCTGACGCTGCACGAGGCCGACGAGGCGCTGCTCCGGCGTGCAGGGCAGGGCGCCGCGGCGGGAGAAGCCAGCAGGCGCAGCGGTATGGTAAGTCTCAAGCACCTCGTTGACCAGCACGCCGCGTCCGAGGTCGAGCTTCACGCCCGTGCGGCCGAGACGTTCCGCAAGTTTGCCAGCAAGATGGCCAACAGCGGGTGCAACTACAAAGGAGGCCTGCTGCCGTGTCCTAACGGCTACATCTGCCACTACACGGGGCAGTCCGGCGTGAGGTCCAGCGCGACTGTGGAGCATCGTGGGGACATCATCCGGGCGGTCTTGTCCCCCGATCCTGAACAGGGACTCGATCAGCCAGACCTCGTAATGTTCATGGGGGCCAGCGCTAACGACGCTCCTGCCATGCTGATGGAAGTGCCAGAACAATACAAGAGAACAGCAAGCCCCGTGATGCTGAAAATGTTCTTTGTGGAGGATACTGACGATGTGACTGAAGAGTGCCCTCATGACCGTGAGCGCGTTGAAACCATGGGCGACAACACCGTGTCGTACGCCGTTAACAACAGCACCTTCTCGGTTGAAACACGAGAAACGACCACCAACACGTTCATGGGCATGTCGTTTGATTTCGTCAGCGAGGCACCTGTGGGTCACACCCCAGCCTTCGAGATTCCTGCTGGGACGCAGATCGTGTGGATCACCCGCGAGGAGATGGTGCAGGTTCTCCAGACGCAGGAGTTGCCGGCGTCCGCCGAGGCACGGCTGGAGGCGCAATTGCGCAGCGTTTATTCTGAAGACGGTCTGGACGACGTGCTGACGCAGAAAGCAAGCAGGAAGCGCGGGCGGCGCGGGCAGGCATCGTGTTCAACCGGAGAGATGTGGGCGATGGTCGGAGGTGCCGTCGCCGTGATGTCGGCGTTCTTACTTTGTGCGTTTACTGTCATCGGCTGCTTTGTGGCCGCGCCGTTCTTGATGATGGCCGGGACGACGTCCGTTACAAACGGTGCTTGCAGCTGCTGGGGGAGCGGTGATGCGGGTCAGACCGCCTGTACATTGCGGTAATGAGGCCATGGCTACCATGGCGGTCTCTCGAGGCAACTGGCCGGCCCGCTGGCAACCAGGAGGAAGTAAGTATTATTGCGAAGGCCTTACGGCCGGTGCCGCTGACCTGAAGGGGAACGACGGCAACGGCGGCCGCGGCGACGTCGACGAAGCTGACATGAGTCAGAGTCCTCATGGATGCTTCTTGGGGTCTCTTCGAAGCACTCTCGGGGGCCTCTGGGGGACACATTATGAGGCCTCTTGGGATCCTCCTGGAAGCCTCTCACGGGGGTTCCTGGGAGCCTCTTGGGGGCCTCTTGGTTTCTTCTGGGAGCCTCTCGGGGCCGAGGGCTCGAAATGTCCATTCTGGTCCCTCGTCTGTGTACCCTCTTGTTGGAGCCTCTTGGGCCGTCTTGGAGGCGTCTTGATCCGTCTTGGGGCCCTCTTGGGCCGTTTTGGGTCCCTCCTGGAGCCCTCTTGGGCCATCTTGGGGCGATCTGGAGGGCCTCTTGGGCCGTCTTGGAGCGTCGGGAAGCGGAAGAGGCGAGAACGCCGACAAGCTTCAATAATTGAAGGGAAGTCAGTTACTTTTCCTCTTGGGGCCCTCTTGGGAGTGCTCCTGGAGGCCTCTTGGGGCGTCTTACAGTGCTCTTGAGCCGTCTGGAGGCCGCCTAAGGCGTCTTGGAGAGATCGTTCGGTGATTCGGGGCCCTCCTGGACCGTCCTTGGGGCCTCTTGTAACACTCTTGGCCCATCTTGAAGCGTTTTTGGGCCCCGGGACCCCCCGGGGGGGAGTCGTATCTGACCCGGGACCCACCCCCCGGGACCGCCCCCTTCTCCCGGCGGGGGAGGGATCAAAGGGAAGGGGCTTCCCTTCGAGTCAATTACGGCGTTGCTCAATTTCGCTTTGGCTGGCCTGCTTGAGGAGGAGGGCCAAGGGAAGGGGGGGGGGGAGCGGCGACGGGTCCAGCGCTTGAGGAGGAGGGCGCAGGGGAAGGGGGGGGGGAGCGGCGACGGGCCCAGGGAAGGGGAGGGCGCAGGGAAAGGGGACGACAGAGACGACGACTAGCGAATGAAGGAGACGACGACTCCAACGAACAAGCCCCTCACACACGCCGACAGTGTCGGCGGATTGGCAGAAGTCAGTCGTATATGATATTCGACCTGCGGGCAGCGTCGAGCAATCGCCCCGATGCCCTCGCAGCACTCCGCCCCGACACGGGCGGAAGGCGGGGAAAAAACAACAGGCCAAGATGGGTATGTGGGGGGAAGGCGAGCACGATGACGATGAAGATGAACGGTAGCTGATGAAGCGGGGTGAGCCTGTCTGTAACTTCTGGTGCTCGTGCAGGTGTGGCCCGAGCGTGGGCCGCAGCCACCAGGGGGGAGCTGGGATCCACCTCGGGTCGCCTGTCCACGAGTGGGGCCACCCGAGGTACAGGATGTCCAAATGACCGTGCGGGGTGGAGGTCAGGCGCGACTCGGCGGCACGCAGCAGGGCGGTGTAGGTGGGGAAGGGGTGGAGTGGGCGCGGGCGCTGGCAAGTAAACCAAGGCGCGGAGCGTGCAGCGGGCCTGTGAGGAGGGAAAGTTCGAGAAGAGGGCCTCCTCCTTCTCCTCCTCCTCTTCCTCCTCCTCCTCCCTTCCTCCTCCTCCTCCTCCTCCTCCTCCTCCTCCTCCTCCTCCTCCTCCTCCTCCTCCTCCTCCTCCTCTCATTCACCTTTTCCTCCTCCCTCCTCCCCCTGCCCCTCCCCCTCCTCCTTCTCCTGAAGTTGCTGTGTACAGTAGTGAAGCACGCACACCTTCTCCTCCGATTCCTCCTCCATCCTCCCCATCTTGGGTTACGACGACTTCCCTAACATTTTTTCCGCTGCATGCTCGTCCACATCCCTGATCAGGGCCACTCGCCCGGGCATCGTTTCTGGATGGGTTGTCGGGGCGACCCGAAGCGTTTCAGAATTTACGAAAGAAATTGCCTTCGGGAGCGCGAATCTGGGGTAATCTACAAAAGGATTCTGGCCACGGGGGCGCGAATTCGGAGTAATCTGCAACGGATCCTGGCCTCGCGAGCGCGAGTCTAGGGTATACCAATGGTTGTGGTTTCGAAAGCGCGACTCCGGCGCAACTTGCAAGGGATTCTGGCATCGGGATCGCGAACCTGGCGCAATTGATTCAGCGTTCTGGCCCAGGTAGCGCGAATTTGGCTCAGTTTGCCAGGATCCTGGCTTCTGGAACGCGAGCCTGATGCAATGTACGAAGGATTGTTGCCGCGGGGGCGCGGGTTCGGCCTGGTGAAAATGCTGTTCTTTGGTCACCCCTTCTCGCGCAGACAACCAATGACACTTTACAGTGGGAAGCAGACATCGAAGCCTCACACCAGAGACTGGCAACGAAGACTGAAGCAGGTTGCAGGACGCCTCACCCCCGCAGCCTGATGGCCCCACAAGCGGGCCGGCGGATTTGGGGGGCCCCTGAGGGCTCTCCAGGCCTCGTGCGCCCCGATCCGATCCGCCCTGAGGGCTCTCCAGGCCTCGTGCGCCCCTGTTTCCCGATCCAGCGCTGGCTGGCAATGCCTTGGCCCCACTGGGCACCCCTGGCAGCACCCGACACTGCAGCGTGCCCGCTGCTCCGCAAGATGCTGCTGGCTGCTTCTGGCCCATCGTCCTATACTGACACGCGCGACAGCGCAGCGCTGCCACGAGCGACCCTCGTGCATCGACACTCCCGCGCGGAGGAGGGGGAGGAGGAGGAGGAGGAGGAGGAAGAGGAGGATGAGGAGGAGGGAGGAGGAGGAGGAGGAGGAGAGGAGGGAGGAGGAGGAGGAGGAGAGGAGGAGGGAGGAGGGAGGAGGAGGGGGGAGGAGGGAGGAGGAGCACCTGCTGCACGCAGCTCCTCGCGCGCCCCTCGGCTCGAGGCCGGCTGCGCCCCGCGCCGCCTCTGCGCGCAGGCTCCGGGGCCGCCCACGCTCGGCCGCCGCCCGCCGTGGGCGCCCGCCGCGCGCGCATGGCACCACCGGCGGGAGGCCCCGAGGCCGCCGCCGCCGCTGGGGCCGCCGCGCCGGGCCCGGCGTGCTGCCGCGCCCGGCGGCTGGCCGCGGCGCTGGGCCCCTGCGCGCTCGCGGAGGTGGCGCTCGGCCTCGCGGCCGCGGGGGTGCTCGCCACCCTGGCGGCCCCCGGCGCGGCCACGGCGACGCCGCGGGCGCTCGCCGCGGCCCCGCCGAGGCGCCTGGCCGCCGTGGAGGAGGCGGGGCAGGCCCGGATCCCCCTCGCGCCGCGAAAAAAAGCATGCAGCGGAGGGCCTACGTCACCCGCGGGGCCGCGCAGACAGTCGCGCGTCGCGCGTCGCGGACTGGGCCACATCTGTTGCCTTTTTCCTAGGGGGCGGCGCGAGGGCGCGAAGATACGATCGCGCCTCGCGGCGATGCGCGAATCTGGGTGACCCAAAGCGCTTTTATTTCAGTACTTGTCTTCTGCATTGGGGGGGGGTCCCGGGGGCCCACCCAGAAAACTGTTGGCGGGGTGAGCGAGGCTGGCCTTGGAGGGAAGGGTCACCGAGGATACGATAATTTTTCAACCCTGGCAGCATAGTGAAGAAATGGCCTCACTGAGGTCCCCGTCTTTGCGTTGGGGATCAGAGATCTGGGGGTTTTGGTTTGATGCATCTGTAGAACAGATCCCTATGCCGAATGTCTCTCGCCTTCCTAACTCGGGTCGCCTCCCAAATGGCTAGGGGCCTGAGGGAGGGGGAGGAGGAGGAGGAGGAGGAGGAGGAGGAGGAGGAAGAGGAGGAGGAGGAGGAGGAGGAGAAGGAGGAGGAGGAGGATGGGGGGGGGGATGAGGAGGAGGAGGAGGAGGAGGAGGAGGCGGAGGAAGTGGAACGAGGGGGAGGAGGGAGGAGGAAGAGGAGGAGGAGGAGGGAGAGGAGGAGGAGGGAGGAGGAGGAGGAAGTGATAAGGAGGAGACAAGGGGGAGGAGGAAGAGGGGATGAGGAGGAGGAGGAGGAGGAGGAGGAGGAGGAGAAGGAGGGAGACAAGGGTGAGGAGGAGGCGAGCCAAGTTAGGAGGGCCAAGCAAGTTAGGCGCCCGAGACCTCCATGGGCTCCACGCCTCGAGGAGATGGCGGCGCAGGGGCTCTGGGGGGACTCCGCCCCCCCAGGGGACGCGCGCCCTCGCCGAGGAGCTGCGCCACCTGGAGGGGGCGAGGCGCGCCCTGGCGCAGGGCCGGCGGCTCCTGCGGCAAGCGAGCGAGGAGGCCCGGGCCGGCTTGAGGGAGCTGCGGGGCCAGGCTCGGCAATTCAGAGCCCCGAGTCATCGGGGGTAACTCGGGTCAGGGCTACCTCGCGCTCGTTGTTCGGGAATCCGAACCCGAGGTAACCCGAGCTACCCCGGATAGCTCGGGGTTCCAGGGCCACGAATCATCAGGGGTAGCTCGGGTCGGGGCTAACGCGAGTTCGTTTTTCTCTGGGAAACACGAGTTGCCCCAGGCCCGAGTTACCCGGATAACTCGGGCGCCCACGCAACGCGCAAGCCCAGAGATCCGACGCTCAAACAAGACATCGGAGCGAGCGGTTTCCGGCCGTCCTCGGCTTCCGGGCGCCCTGGCCGGGCCTCAGGACCGTCAAACAACGACTCGGGACGAAGAACGGGTCCTGGGGAAAGGATCCAGACCTCTGGGGCCCACGCATCGAGAAAATTGGAGCAGCGGGATGTCTGGGAGAGCGGCCTTTCGCCAGGGTGACCTCTGGTGCGCGCGCATTCGGGTCTCGAAACGATCGACTGCGGTATGGTAACGTCAGGAGGCCTTTAGCTTTACACTCCGAACTCTGTCTCGGCGGGGAACAAGGTCGCCCCTCCTGCTCCTGCTCCTCCTCCTCTTGTTCCTCCCTGTCCTGCTCCTCTTCGTGGCCGTTATCGTAGTTGTAGTCGTCGTCGTCGTCATTTTGGCTCAGGACCGCGACTAGGCGCACTTTCTGGCACATCTTGTTCCACCTCAGACATCTTCTCTCGGACGTCAGCTCGTCCTTCTCGTTGTCTCGCTCGTCCTTCAGTCACGATTGCAACAGCTTCTTTCTCAGCCATGTCAGCTGCGGCCGCGGCGGCTCTCAACGGTCCCGCTGCCGCCGCTGATCCATCCGTGTTCGGTTCTGGCGTCCCTTTCGCAGCTGCCGCTGGTCTGCAACCTGCTGCTGACGGCGTGCGTGGAGTGAAGCAGGCTCGTGTTGGTGATGGCGCGGCCTGGTCGAGACCAACGATGACGCGGATATGCAACCATCGGATGGGGTTGCCGTTCGGGGTCTTCAGGCTCACGCTGCGGTTCCAGACGGACTCGAACCGAGTGAACTCAGGTTTTTCAAGGTCCTCGCGGCGGATTCCAGCAGTGAATCCTTTGGAGCGTATGGTAGATCAGTGTGTGGAGCGGTTGAAATCAGCGGAGAGGACCATCTTAAACGTCAGGAAAGAATTCGAGGAAAGAATTCGCTGAGCTCAAGGCGCGGGTCACCGTGTTCAAGACTGGTGGAGGTGGTGATGGCATGGGATCCGTTTGGCACTGTGGCGGCGTTTCGGACCGAGGCCACGGGAGTGTCGCGGGCTCGGGCGGTTTTGCTCCTAGCACCCGCGCTCCAGTGAGCAAGCGTCAGACGCTCTGCGCCGGCGGTTTTCAGTACACAGGGGGCGCGGGTACTTGATGATCGCCTACATCTTAGGCGTAAATGGTGTGTTGGCTTGTTGTAGCTATCCGGATCGAGTCGGAGTGGAAATTGAATGCTCACAGCGTATGTGGGATTGTCTGGTTAAGGTGCAATGAAACAGTTCAGCTCAACGGTGGCGGCAGCCGCGCGTCTCCATTGCCGTTTGGCTGCGGTCGTTTGGCAGTTGTGGCACACGATAGACAAATCGAGAGGAGCTGATCGGCCAGAACCGAGCCATGTACGCGAAGGGCCTGCTGAAGACAGCGATCGCCTCCCAGCGGGCATACCTGTTGGAGCAAAAGCTGGTCGCGATGATCGGTGCATCCAAGGACATGGGCTTGGCCATCTTACTTGGCAAGTCCTTTCCACCAGATGTGATGTCACGGGGCCCTCTGGAGATCTTGATGCGCAACATCCCTTCTTACGGCTTGAAGGTCGCGAGCGGCGCCCAAGAGTGGATGGGCGCCGTTGATATCGGCTTCAACGCGGCGCAGCACCTGAAGGAGGTCAACGGCCCATCGACGGGGGCGAGTGCTGAGTCGATTCCGCTGGGCCGAGGCTTCCATCCAGCGACGGCACTGCAATCCTTTCTTGGACATGTCAGGGAGTTCCTCGGGCTGGATACTTTGGGTGCTGAGTTTCACTGGGAGGTGGTGCGCCTTCAAAGATTCACCTATGCACCCGTTGTTGACAAGGACGAGATAGTTGGCCATCTCGTTATCTTTGGACTCCCTACGCGTGGGCGCAGAAGGAGACCAGCGACCAGAGCGCATATGCCATCGAAGGCCCGCGCCACCGTCGACCCCGCAAGACAGGGGAATCGCGCAACCTCGGGCATCGCAACCTCCCAGGGCGGACCTGTGTAGACCGTGCGCGGGCATTTTGCATATGACAACTGCGATGCTGCTTGCTCCAAGGCCGTGGGAGACTGCGAGGATCCACTTTCGCGCTGCCCGAGAGACAGGACGCCCGTGGCGCGCCTGGATGCGAGCGCCTCCATCGCCGCGAACCGACCGCCCACAGCTGCCGCGGGCCCGCGTGCCGCGGGCGCTAGTCCCTGGCAGACGGCGGCCCCCCTATGAGTTGTAGTCAGCAGCGATGTCACCCCGAGCAACATCTGGAGCAAACCTTTGCTCGGGGCTGTGACGTACTTGCGCGACGGCAAATGCGCGCTGGGATTTGCGCAGGATCGCCAGGGGGGCCCCCTGACTGTCATTCGCGCCCTTGTGCAGCGTGGGAGTCCGGTCGTTGCCCCCGTGCGTTTCGCTTCGCTGCCGCGAAGAAGCCTGGCCCCCATTTTGTCCCGCGCATTGGGCGTCGCCTTAAGATCGCGCCTGTCGGCCGGAGGCTCCGCGACCACACTTGCTAGGCAAGGGGAAGAGCCCCATCGGAATCAACGCTCACATGTCGCGACAAGCAGCCTCGATGACGTCCGTTTTCGTTTGTGCAGCGATGGCCATTTCAAGAAACTCTCAGCACCCGGCTCACTCGCGGCCGAGGTTTTACAGCTTTCAGCGACCCCCCATGGCTCCCCGCAGAATTCGCAGACCCCTGGGGCCCCAGTCGATCCGATACCCCGTGGTCGCGGCGGAGACGATTTTCCATGCATTGTTGGGGATGCTCGGTAATGTCTGGGGGCCCTTTCCCGCAGGGATCAACCAATTGCGGGCAATCGCGCGCGCGAGAGGACGCCGGAACATCTTCGCCCGAGGATTGTAACATAATTTGGTGGCTGTTGTAGTCGTGAGCTTCGCGGTTGCAGTCGCAATCGCATTCGCTGTCGCAGTCGTCGTCGCAATCGTCGTCGTCGCGGCGGATGTGATAATCCTTCCATTGCTGGGCGGGCTGGATACTGTCGGGGGAACTTGGCATTGAGTCGCTTCGCTTATTCCGCCGGCCCGCGCCGCGCCATCGCTGGCGCGTCTGCGCGCTCGCGGCTCGCGCGGCGCAGCGGGGCGGCGGTCGATTTCAGGGGGCGGCGCGAAAGCAGGCGTGGAGGTGGGGCAGTTGCTTCGGAGCTTGTCGCGGGGTTCTGGCCCTTAATGTCCGTCGCCGCAAGCGCTGCGTTGCCGTGAGACGGTGTTTGTTGTTGTTGTTTTCCCCCCCGTGGAGGCGGCGCGCGTGTGTCGACGGGCGCTGCGCGGGTTGTCGAGGGGCTTTGTTCGCGGTCGCTGTTGGGGTCTCTTCGGATGCCGCTGGGGTATCTGTCGGGGCGCCGCTGCGGTTCCCCCGGTCGGCCCGGCGCTTCGGGCGCCGTTGCGGGAGTGGCAAGCGCGAGAGATTTGAAGTGGAATGCCATTGTCTGTCATCGGCGCACTTGGCACATAACAGAGCGGAGTATTGGCGAATAGATTACGCGGAGCCACGCATGCGCGGACCGGTCGGAGCGCGCGTTTAATCGCCGCTTGCCACTTGGAAATTCGCGCTGCAGCCGCGACGTTGCCCGTGCAGGAGTTTGCGCTCGCATGGCGCAGGAGCGCCAGGGCCTATCTTGCTTGTCCCCCCTCCAGCCGCCACCTCCTTCCCGCCCCGGTGAAGGCGGCGCGGCCCACCCTGCTTTCCAGGTTCGTCGGCGGGGGAGGGTGCCAGAGGAGGGGCGCCTTGCCCTCGGCATTCCCGTGGAAATAAACGCGCGCCCTCAGCAGCCTGAGTGGAAGACGTTTTTGCTGGGGAATATTCTTAAGGCCTGTTCGCGAAATTTGCGAACGCTCCTGGGGCGCTGCTTTTCGCGCAGGTTTTCGACGCATGTTGCCGGCATGTGGAGGTGTGTGTGTGTGGGGGCATTCGCGGCATGTTCGGGCGCTTCTGGAGCGTCTTGAAACATTGTCGCTCGACGTACGTTGCACGCATGCGAAGGATTTTTCGCGGCGAGATGGAACGCTCCTGGAGCGTCGCGGAACGTTCTCGAACGGCTGAATGCGGAGGAGCAGGCGAGGAGAGGGCGAGGGCGAGGCGGACAGGAGTGAAGGATAGGGAAAAGCGGACGAGGGCCAGGAAGAGGAGGACACCGGGGGCGTGGGCGGTGGGCGGGCGATGTCTCTAACTGGCGTTTTTTCGGAGGTTGTTCGACGTCTCTGGGGAAGAAGCTGCTGCGTTGCCTCGTCGCGTCGCTGCGGGGCCCCCCCGGGGCGGGGACTCTCCGGAAAATGCATCGACGTCTCGTCGAGGCCTCGCGGGGGCAGTCTGGGAGCCTTTTGGTGCCTCCTGGGGGCCGCTTGTGCGTCCCAGGGGCCCCGTTCTGGCTCTCGCGGGGGCTTTCTGGGGCTTCTTGAGGGCGTATTCGGGGCTTGCCGGCGCTCTCGGAGGTGGCCCCCGGGGCGGCATTATTGAAATGTCATTTCGGTTTCCTCCTCTCGGGGCTGTCTTGGGCCGTTTTGGGCGCCTCTTGGGCCGTCTTGGTGCCCTCTTGGGCCGTCTTGGAACCGTTTTGTGTTCTCTTGGGCCCATTTTGGGGGCGCACTGGGCTGTCTGGGGACGACGTTGGAGGCCCAGGGGGCAGTTCTGGACGCTGTGAACCCCCAAACGTCGCACGCGCGAAAAACGTCCGTCTCCCGAAAGAAATTTGATGATTTATACTTGTTGGGCTCTCTTGGGG